TTTTTAAAAGCAAATATAATTTACTTCACAAAAGTTATACTAGGACTCTCAAAATTTATAATTTCCTTCTTTTTTTGTGTGAGAGAAGATTACAAGGATTACAAAAATTCGATGTTATTTAGCTGATGAGAAGCTTTTAAAAATAAAAAAATTATGTCAATATGAATGATATGTATAATATCAAATTCAATATTTTTAAAGTGGAAAAAATACAGAGAAAAATACTTTATTTTCGAGGAATATTCATTTAAGCATCTTAAGCGATGTGTCAGAGAGAATTACAAGAGTAAAAAAATAAATCCTCTTTCAACTGTTCGATCCTATCTGATCCGAATAAGTTTTTTTTTGTTCGCATTTTGTGTTATAATATTGAGTCGAAACGAAAATTCATAGCGCTACTTCATTCGTACCATGTATATTTATAAAATTTGGCAATTATACCATTTGATAGAGCAAAGTGTCAGCTTTAAAAATTTGTTTTTTCAATTACGGCATGATTGATTTTTAATGGAGTTGTAAACAAAGTAAAAATATTCCTTTTATTTAATCCGCGATATTTCAGTAACAAACAATCTTAAGAATATTTTTGGAAAACAATTTTATAGAGAAAACTTTAAGTTTTTACATTAGAACGTCGAAAATTTTTCCATTTTGTCCAGCTCGTAGTATTTTATATACAAAAATTACTAAACTCACAGAAATTTAAAAAATATAATAATCTTTTGAAAGTTGAGATTTTAAGCTTTAAAAATCTTTTTTTAAATTTAAATTTTGTTTATTTTTAATGAAGTTACAGTTATTTGAATTCTGAAGTTCGTAGCGCTACGAAATTTTTTGTTCCGATCCAATAGAATTAGCAACTCTAATGGTAATATTAATTAAAGGTTCGTGTTACTTGCACTTTTGCATAGTATCTTCGCTTTTCCTCTTTTTAATATCTAATTAAAGATTAATATATATTTATCTTGTTTTAAGCGCAAAATTTTTTTTTAATTTCAACCCGAACAAAATCTTACGATTAATTGCATTGAGCATTTACTTGAATCTTAAGTTAAGATTGCGACAATTTTTACACGAGCTTTGTCAAAAATTTCTCGACTTCATACGCGAAGATGTCACTAGACTAAGAATGCGACAGCGTTATGTTTTTGTTTCGATTTCCGGCGGTACTGTGAGAACCTCGGTATGACCGATCGTTAAACGTCACAGTCGCAACACAGAGGCAAGATAATATCGCCGCCGTTTGCGTTCTATTCCTTCGAAATGAAATCTGTGCCGGCGAATCCGTCGGTCCCCGCTCGTCCACCCCCTCGCTCGGCCCTAAGCTCGATCCTCCCATCCACGGGAGATCTGGGAGCAATGTTGCTAATTACTACATACCACCGAATGCGGCATAACCCGCGACCCATGAATTCCACCGCGCTGTAGCCGATGGTGTACAGTCGCAAGAGTCAGTTTTCATCCGTGTAATTTGTGGAAATTGCGGTTTCCTATGAGCGCGAGGCGAACTGATAATGCACTACCGAACGTCAGCTCGGTGCCACACTTACATTCTCTAATATTATGCGCATGCACATATACATCCACACAAGCGAGATAATCGCTGGCTTTTTTCCCCCCACAATTTAGTCGGCAAAATCCGAATTACGTTGCGGAAGCGAGAGAGATTTAGGTATCTCCTTCTTTTGATGTACTTTGAAACTCATATAGTAGTTTACAAATCATCATTATTTACAAACTAAGATGTTATCTAATTTAATTTAATTTAACGGTATCCTTCCCATACAGCACACTTTATTCTAGGGACGTCCTGGGAACATCCTTAGAATGTAGTATCTAGAGACGTCTCTTCGAGGAGTTTTGTGCTGAGTTGTAATAGTTTTTTAATTAAAATCGATGTTTCAGTAAGTTAAAAGAATCGTACTTTTCTGATATTCTTTACGTGGATGTTCTTTATTTTTTTTATGCTAGAATATAAAGTTTCTTGTTCTTTTAATGACAACTAACACATCATCGTCACGATCTTACGAGCCTCTGTGTGAAATTGATTAAACATGGTAGTGCAATACAGGAACGATTATTACATGTAGGATAAAGTCGTAAATATAAGGACCACATGGCCAGCTTCTTCTTGAAATGAAGAAAACCTGCAATGAGAGGATGACGATACGCATGCGAGAATATTGAGTTGTAAAAACTTTTGGTTACGTGTAAATTGATGTTAAAACATTTAAACAATATTAATAGGGCTACTAAATTTTTAAATAGTAACGTTATTAAGTTAATTATTTCTAAGCTATTTCGTAACTACCAGTAGCCGTTTATTGTTGTCACACATAAATAAATATTGTTGTGACATAAATAATGTATAAAACAACTGTTAAAGGTTTATAAAAAATTTTTTCATAATTATTTAAAAAGTTGAATCAAGGATTAACCTATTTATATAAAAATGTTATACATTTATGGATGTATTATACATAAATTAATTGATACGACAGGAAATATAATAAATATACTATAATATAATTCTAATAAATATAACTATAATAAATAATATACACAATTAATTTTTATGTAACATAAATTATATGCAAATCTTTCTAATTATGTTTTATGTAATTTTCCTTTGTAAAGAGCTAGGCTTTTCTTTCAAAATGTAATCTCTACTGCTTGACGGTAAGAATCAGTCGTATGCATTTTTAGATGTTGCAACGATATTTCTTCGTGCCGGTGGAAAGTTTTCAACGGACGTTATACCCTACGTCATGCCGAAGGTATATTCCAAAGGGCATAATTTAAAGAAGTTTCTCTTGGGGTTGTCGCGAACCAGCGCAGCAGCCAAACGAAAACCCAGTTTGAATGTAAGAGTATGTAAATGATAGGAGCTGCCAGGAGAGAGTTCATTATAACCGGCATGGTGCGACCACAAAATTGTTCGTGGAAACTTTTGTGAATGGCAGTTAATTATAATTAATTCCGTATTGTCTACTCGACAGCTCGTGCTAATTCCTTGCTGCCGACGAATCGCACGCGAACGCAAACCGCGGAGTTTCAGTTAGCACCCTCTCGTGCAGACAAATTATTACGAATGTTCAATTAAATTGTGCGTTTTCAAACTAAGTTCCGTACAGCAGTCTTTTCGGCAAATTTTGCATTTTCTCGGCCGTTGTGTCACGCATCCATCTAGGAACTTACGGAACGCTCTATTTAATACCTTTTCTTACATTTCTCGTATACAGAAACGCAAATTCGTATAATGTCGTAATTAAGGAAGATTAATTTTTCTTAAAGTGGCTAATAATTTTTCATACTTGAACCAATTTGTAATTCAAGATTTAATTATAAAGAAACTGGAAAATTAACTAAAATTCAATACACAATTAATTAGAGTTTATTGAGGAAGATTTGTATTTCTTCTGGTGCATTATGCAGGACGTATTCGATAAAGTAATATATTTTCCAGCAGTTGTAAATTAACGTTATAATAATCACGACCTTTAGCATAAAAATAATTTAACGGCTGTGTTGGGGAAATTGAACGGTGATTAATTCAATCGTAGTATTACATCGTTAAAAGTACAATGCAACTCGTTCGATGCAAGTGCCCCGATGCTCTGTATCCGCAATTAGAACGATTTCGCGAGTTTAATTCCGCAGAATTAGGAGTGCGGAACTGGTTCTTCTCATCCGGGCAACTCTCGGAAATTTCAAGAGTTTATCCCGACGGAGCGAGAGTGGGATTACAGGAGAAAAAGGGGTAACAGAAAAGGATGGCCCGGCACGAAAGAAAAGGGAAAAAGAAAGATGAACTTTGTCTTTAGAATAGCTGAAACCTCCTATTCTTTTCCGGCGACAAGTTTCGGCAATGATTTTTAAAATTGAAAGAACACCACGACTAATTCAGTATACGATAAACTCTTGTTTGGCATTGTTTCTATATCTCTTACAAAAATTTTCTAAACTCTCGGTACGATTTTTCTTTGTAGAAGCAGTTTTCTTAACTTGTAAACATAAGAACAGATAGGTCAATGTGTTTTTATTTGTGAGATTTAGATTTACAATAATCATGTTGTGTACAACAGGTAATATAATAAAACTGTGTTAATAAGCAACACACAAAAGATACATAAAGAATATTTGGATTCTCAGTTTACATTACACGGTATATGTATATCATATAATAATATTATATTGTAACTATAGTATATAATAAGTGTAAAAGTAACATATACTTATAAAAAAGTATACCTATAAAATATTGTAAAAGTAATTAATTTATTCTGATAACAATTTTCTTCCTTTTTATAAAAGATCGTCGTATCTTACAAAAATATCAAATCAAAATAAAGTTCATCGTCTGACATAAACGGTAATAACGTAGAAGAGCAAATTAAACTTCAACGTTGATATCTGCTTACGCGACGGCCAAAAAGATTTAGCCTTAATGGAAGTTGAGAGTATATCGTGGAACGGAAATGTGGGGTGTATAGGCCCAACGAATCGCCGCGGTGGTGTGTGCGAAATAATAGGGTAATTGTTATGCTACGGCACGGTAGGCGGAGGATCTGAGCTCCGTGTCTTCGATAAGACACGGCTCTGAGCATACTTAACGAACTTAACTTTCCACGATCGTATGGGCATCTAGTTTTCGGCGGTACGATACTGGATATAATGAGGGAAATGTAATAAAACCAGCTAGCATGCCGATTTTATTATATTACATGAGAGACGTTATTGTATCATAAATTTGAAGATATTGTAAAATGAGATCAAATTTCTTTCCTGATTAACTATTTCGTTATGTTCATTTAAATAAAATTGAGTTGTCAATGATGAGAGGTTAGAAATTCTCATCTTTTATTCAATATAATACCTCTATTGATTTTAATTCTATTTCTATATAAGAGAATAATGAATATTTTGTAAAAAAAAAGATTACTGTGGCTACTTAATTTTGTAAATTTTTATGAAAAAACTTTGAAGTTTCGAGGCATGTTCTATTCATTTATAAAAGAATCATCAAATGGTGTGATAACATGAGGTTTACTTATATTCTGATTCTCTGGATAACATGGTGATTTAAATGTCCCAGTTATATTCTTAGTTAGTTCGATAAATTTGTCATATGGACATAATACTGTACAGCCGGGAATGATAACTTGTAATGTTTTCGGTGGAATACCTAAATAATGTAATATCTGTAAGAAGTAAACATTATCCATTGGTTATTAATTAGTCAAGTGACAAATATTATTTGCGTTGTCACTAGATAAAAATGACACACTTACTTTGACAAAATACTTCTTATTTCTTTCATGTAATTCTATAATAACGCTGCTCGTAAACTCTGGTAAATAATGATCGCGAATATTTAGAGCACGTAGCAATCCAAATACATTTATGTCATGTGCGGAGTAGAGATTAATTTTGCGATGTAGAGTTCCGTTGATCACTTTATTCATGTCGTTAATTAATGCATTTAATAACACACCTGCAAAAAAAAGATTGAATATTATATGAATATTTTACATATATAAAAAAAGTTACACTGAGAAAAATGACCGTTCAAAAAGTAACAAACGGATATTTCCGATTGATTTTGATCGGATTTATAAGACTATCCGATCAAATTTTAGGACTATCCGATCAAATTTATCGGATTTATAGGACTATCCGATAAATTTGATCGGATAGTCTTATAAATAAGATTAAAATCAATCGAAAATATCCGTTTGTTACTTTTTGAACGGATAAAGCCCGGAAATTTTTGATAATGCTACAATTAATTAAAGTCTTTGCTTTCTAATAATTAAGCTCCTTCTTTAGACTTCTCAATAATTTCAGATTATTTTTTAATAATTAGATAACTTATAAACAATATATATATATGATTTTTATTTAAACACACATACCTCCATTAAGATTATTTAGTTGATCGTAACTAAGTAAGTCGAAGAATAAGCGAGTCGCATTCAAAAGTGTGCCATTCGGATATATACGTCGCGTCCATTTAGGTAAAATTAATCCCATAGATGATTCTGCATTTAAAATATTATACAAACGAACAAGGCCCAAGAGATTTGTAATATTAGTTCCTGTATAGTTTGACGTTATCTTCATCAAATTGTCAAACTGTTCTATTTTCTTTCTCACTTCTGCATTTTGTAACACATTTTTGTAAATATCATTGTACCTATTGAAGACACATAAGAATAAATTTTTAATATTATTGTCGAATAATAGTTTAAACAAGAAATATATAATTTATCCAAGCAGAACAAAAAATCATCAAAATAATGTAAAAATGACTTTAAAATGATTATTAAAAGTTACGTTTCGATCAGATTCACGATTCTATTCATGATTTAATATCATTTTGACATTATTGTGATTTGTTTGGTTACGTAATAATTATGATAATTTGTGATTAATTTATAGGTGACATTATTTATATTACATACATATATTCTTCAAAATATAATGTATTTTTTATCAAATCTTAAGAATCGTTAAGACATCTATAAAGTATTTATAGAAAGATATTTTTGTACAATATATTAATTGCATTAATTATTTAATTCCTTCATATTTGCAAAGAATACAAATAATCAACTCGTCTATATGAAATATTCTTGTGAATGCAGACATAATCGAAACATTATTGCTGATCATACGACGTATAACTATTTATATTAATATTAATCGAAGAAAAGAGATTTGCTTACATAGAGCACTGCATTGGAAATAGCAGATTATCTTCATTCATTGGAAAATATATCATCTCTACTGGCTGCCAAGGAAGCCCCGAGTTCCACTTTTGAATTTCGACAGGTGGATAAAGCGCCGCAAGGACTAATTGTAGGGTCATCTTGGTTCGAGGCACCCATGAGCTACGTGCGTAGACATTCGGTGGATAATACAAATCTCCGAGAAACTTGTGGTATCTGTCTTTTAACACCAACCCTAATTCGTACGCTCTTTTCTTGCCGACCTTAAATGTTGTTAATAAAGATAAAGAAAAAGAAGAAGAAACTACGACATGCTATAATATTTCTTGCAAACTTAAAAATAAAGAAGCAATAATATTCCACGCAAAAACGGAGAAATGAGAAAAATGTTGATCTTTCCGCTATGTCGCAGACGCACTTACTTGTGTGGCAGTATATTCGCTATGATACACTACGAAAAGCTTTACGAAGAGCAGAAGATGCAATGCATGCATTAATACTAATTTATGTATACAGAACGTCTCACTTTTCGCGCATCATATTTCGGACAAGAGATTTTTTTAAGTACTTTTTTTTTAGCGATGCTATCAAGACATTTATAATTTTCGAATTAAGTGTAATTAAAAAAAAATGAAATTTTTCAAAACTGAACTCAAATAATTAATAAAATTACGTTTCTAAAATAGTTTCAAGTGGAGTCCAAATGAAATCTTAATTTGGGACGCAATTAAAAAGCATAAGATGTCAAAAATTGTAAAGTTAAATAAAATTGTAATTTTCCTTGATACCCTTGCTATAAAAAAATTAACTATAAATCGATAAAAAATCTGCTGTAATTTAAAAAATGTACAACAAATATAAAATGATCTGAATATAATTTTTGAAGATTACTTTATCAAATATTCCAATAAACATCAACTAACAGTAATATAACGTCAGTATTATAATTTTCTATTCAAAATGTAGCTATTATATATAACGTGTGTTGTATTACATTTGTGTTGTTGAGTAGGAAATTATAGGTAATATTGATATAATTGTTACGATGTTAGCTTATCGGATACACGATGCGTCACGTTATCAAATTATTTTAATGATAAAAAAAATTAAACGATATAATATATCTATGCTGAAAATGTAAATCAGATCTTACATTAGTTAAGTCTCCGTCGCCAACTGGATAGAATTTACGACTATTATATGGATCGTTTGGATAAGATTCGTTACTTCTCCACTTGTCCATTATACGATCGCCGTGTCTAAATACCTGAAAATTTCACGTTTTAATTGTGTTAATTTTGAATACATTTGAGAAAATATATATATTATAAATATTTCTTGTGAAGTGTAATTTTTTACATCATTACCGTGCTGACTAATCGTAACGTCAAATTATTATTCTGCCGGTGTGTAGTGTTAGACACCAATGCCTTCGATGTTGTTAATATAAAGCAGGAATAAAATATTAATGCTATGCCTAGGAGCTGATGAAATTTTGCCATCTTTTAAACTGAACGGCGTAAGATAATCTCAAATATTTGTAATGAAATATCTATAACAAAAATAATTCTTGACACTTACGTTATAGTTTCGATAATCTTAATATTAGATTAAAAATGAGAATATCATTGGATGACGATTTTATTTAAACTGATGATGTGGATTTTGAAATGTATAAACATTATGCAGCAAATAATACACTAATTTCTATTAACCTATACTTTTTGCACGAATGTTTACTATTTATTATTGTAGTTTCCATGTACATATAGATTTTATGTGTGTGTTAAACATTTTTCTAGATATCTCATCCGTTTATAAGCAATTAAATTTTTATTAAATTTCACAAAACATAAAAAAAGATCTTTTTAATAATCATATGAGTATAGTTATCATAAACTAATCTATATTTATATATATATATCTATAATGATTTTAGGAGATAAACCACGTATTCAAAACAAATACAGATACTTGACACAGTTAGATAAAATGTATATATTTCATTTCCTACAGAGAAAATAATAGTAAGGAATACAAGCAGAAGAACGATATTTTTGCATTTGTATAAATATTTTTTTAAAATCATATACGAGCTGCTAATTAATCAAAGTCCCTCTCTTTCTCTCACCTACAATCCCTACAATAACATCGGAGATTTATTCTCTACTCTGTAATTACAAATTTTTAATTAAAATTATAATGTTAATTTATATAATTATTAATTTTTATAAGAAGTGCACGCATGCTTTTTTAACATGACATATTTAATGGCGTATTTTTTATGTAGAATTATTGTTTTGTCTTATATAACCCGTTTATAAATGCGTAATATGTATAATAATCTTCACTTGAACTTGCAACGACATAGTCTTTGCACATGACACCTATAAAGATATATAGAGTGTCTCTAGATAAATGCCATTTGGAATAACTACTAAAATGATAGTAGATTGGAAAAAGCGTAAATGTAAATTTTCTTTATTATTTTTTAAGTCATTTCGACAAAATTGTTATTCGGTTTTTTTTTTGTGCTTTCATGGCACTGAAATGTATTTTTTTTTTAACACAAGATAATTTTAATATAACATTTAAAAATTCAGAAAATAACATTTTCTTTGTTAAAATTACCAGACTTTACATAAAAAATAATAAAGAAAATGTATTTACTCTTTTTTCCTACGTCCTATTGTTTAGCAATTATTTCAAATAGCATTTGTTTAGAGACACTCTTTATACAGGGTAATTTATAAATGCATATTAATATCTCAAGAGGTAAATCTACATACTAAAATAAGTAAAAACCGTCATATATATGTCCTACATACATACTTTAATTTTCGAGTTATGGATAATCAGAAAGAAAATGTTTGAAATACTCGCTAATATATAGATCGATTTACCATTCGAAATATTGACATACATTTATAAATCATCTTGTATGTCTATTCAGCATTATAAAATGTATATATTATTATCGCATGAGATAATGGGCTCTAATCGTATGCGGTGAGAGATTAAGTATCTATATCTTCAATATCAAGAACGTGCCTCGTTTATTGGATTAATTTATTATCTAGCTTTGTGTACATATTAATTAGAAAGACAAAATTATATATACAGATTCGTTCGTGACAATAAACTAATTTAACTACATAATTATGATGCTTAAATTTGTCGAGACGTTTACAGTATCCCAGAATAGTGTCATCTATGATAAAATTGTTATTGTCGCGAGACCGGATTATGATTCGACGAAAGAGATTTTCTTGGTTTTGAGACTAAGAACTCGAGCAATTCATTCTAAGAAAAGAGTTATTCGCGGATTAAATTTATTCAGTGAAAACAGAACGAATAATTATTTGGAAACCTTAATGGTTTCTCTATGTTAAATAATGTACGAGACTTTTATTTGTTACTTGCGTCTTGGCTAATCCTCCCAAATCTTTCGATAATCGAGGAGAAAGAGAAAAATGTTTAAATTGTAATTTCGTAAAGATTCTTTGTAGAAATATTTGAATCTTGTATAAACATGAATTATTACAAGAAAATGAGATCCACGTTATTAGTAGTGACAACTTATTAGCGACTCGTAATTTACAATTGAGGTCACACTACTGGCAGCGACAACGTAATAGTCCTTCGGACAACTTTTTAAGCGTATAATGTTCGAAAGAGTAAAAAGAATCGAACTTAAATTCAATGAATTTAAAATATATCACCTCTCATTAGAAGAACTTACCGTGCAAGGAGTTTAAAAGCGAATGAGGAAAAGTATAAAGTAGTTTCGGACCGAACCGTGGCTAACTTTCTTTCTAAGTTTAATACTGATGAACTACGCGAATGTCCGAATAAGGATATGAATACCGAATAAATGGATGAACACGTGCCTACAATGGGATTTTCTTAAATGTAAAGAGTAATAATAATTGTAGCGACCAAAACTGTAAAACAATAATGTTATCTCTTTTATATACCAGATAATAAAGTTGACAATTTTTAATTAATGCTTTCTTGTTAGTAATAATGTGAGCTACTCTAATTAAAAAAAAAAACCTATTTTAGAGTTTTAAAGAAAGTAAATTTATACATGTCTCTTATCCAATTCTATCTTATCATCGAAAATTAATATGCTCCATTTATCCAACACTTTAGTTCAAAAATCTTAATCTTTTTTATTTATTCCATTTGCTATTTACTTATTAAAGTGATCTTATTTTTACTAAAAATAAAAATTGGAACATTATATAGATGGAGTACTGACATTGACTAATTATTTTTGTTATTTCTTTAATTTTGAACAATGAAGAAGCATAAAAGCCAACGCAGAGTGACAGTGCAATAAATATATTAATTTACTTTACATATATCTTGATAAACGTTTCAACCATACATCTGATTATCCTCAGTATCGCAAATCAAACATATTAATCGCTACTTACAAAATTGTCGTTTACAAAATATTTATAATAACATAAATGTCCGTCACGAAAAGATTTTTCTTTCTCTTTGTCTTATTATATGACGTCGTTGAAAATTATTGTTACTTAATTTGAAATTCCACCAGCATCTTTAATTTTACTAATTATTGTTATGTCTCTATATATAATAAAATAATCTCATTTATTTCCGTTATGTTTTAATAACACACAGATATTCTTAAATTAATTTGAAATCTTTAAAAAATATAATATGGTAAGAATAGAATATGTGTATTATGTGTGTAATATGCGTATTATAAGATATCCATAAAATATTATTCGCTTTATTTAGGATAATATTTAATTTATATTTTACATACTTACGTGTGATAAAATTTTTACTTTCGTAATATTCAGAACTTTAATGTCTATAATAATTTATTCTTCGTAAATACCCGTTGTTAGTAGTTATCATTTTAGCATTAACGGCAAAGATTCAAAAGAGGAACTTGAACTTTTTCCAACGTGATATGATACTCGGTTGCAACAAATTGACTGTTGCACTTCTACAACACGACGAGTTTCTTAAGACTCTGCTGACGTACGACTGACTCGAGCGACTAAAAAGCTGAAAGATAAAAACGAGAAATGTAGCGAGAAAAAAATAGTGAGAGCGCTCTCATATAAATGATTTGAAAGCGTTCCCCTCTTTGGAACGAAATATACTCAGAAAGAAAAGATCTCACTGTCACAGCAAAACCATTTTAATGTTCCATTGAATTCAACGTAAAAATAATCGATCTTTATTATTATAATCAATTTTTATTAAGAAATCTCGTTGAATAAATCTATAGAAGTAAAAATTCGAATTTGCTATTAAAACAAATTCAATTTGCCACTAAAATAAAATAAAATTTTCCATAGTAATGATAGAAACTTCCAAAATTATTTTTATCAAACAAAATTAATATTCTTAATAAATATTCTTAATAAATCTGTTTGTGTAATAATTAACGATAGTTGCTAAGACAATATAAAGTATACTGCATCAGTAAATTTCATTTATATTAATATACATTTAACAAGTCAATTAAATCGTTAAAATGTCTTTTTTAGATCTTTACCTCAAAATTCTGAAGAGAATTGAAGAATTTGGGACTGATTAAATCTAGAATTACGATTGTGAGTTTCCATATTTTTTATGTAACAAAACAGATGAATATTTTATGATTACGTTTTTATGTATATCTTTATATTTAATACATATTTAGTTGGCAGTATTCAACTAAATATTTATTAAAATTGACTATATTTTTTTTCAGTGTGGGTGTTCGTATGTGAAAAATTCAAACTTTATTATAAAAATTTAAAATAGTCGATAAACGTTTCGATCCTCCCTGATTTGCTACATAAAACGAGTACATATTTTATTATTTTTCATTATTTAATTCCAGAGACTTATAAGCGTAGGTTTATGTCGCTTACGTGTAACGCTGAGTTGGATAAATCAAAAGTTTCATCAGTAATACCCTATTATTAAATTGCAATTTCATTGTATAAAACATGCTTTTTGTTGAATTAGTATTCACTATTAAATTTATTAAGAAATTTATTTGCAAAAACTTATATAGCAAAAGAGTAAAAATAATGTTGGTTCAGGTGTTAGTCAACGAATGAGACGGTAAGGCCAAGTAAGAACAAAATCATGATTCGAAACCTTGATATTGGTACAGCTGTAGAACGATAATAAGTTTATACAGAGATAATGTAAATTATTGAAAATATAAATCGTAAATTATAAACATCATAAAAATTGTAATTGGTAATAATATAAAAAATACATAATAAATGTTTTTATTAAAGATAACAAAAAAGATAAAGTAAAATGTAGGTTTTATAAAATGACCATGTGCTGTAATAAAACTTAATGTAAGTCAAATCACATAAATATGTAAGAGTTATAAGCATTATGCTTTTTGTCAACAGTGTTAGGCTCACAAATAAATCTTAAACAAAGAATGAGAAATTGTAACGTTTGATAATGTATCTATATATAGAAAGAGAAACCTTTACGTTATTTTAAATAAATTCACACATAGCGGGTCGAGAGATAACGTGTCGTTGTGTAAATTCAACCATACTTCTGTCTTTTTATATGTATCATTTCGGACATAAGTCTTTTATTTAAAATTTTTTCTTCATCAAGTATCTTAACATTGTCCCAATCAAAATCATGAGATGTCTCGAGTCTATGATCAGTGATCACCGAGGGTTGAGTCGTATTCCTGTTAATGTGGCATCTGTGCTCTGATATATGTGTCTTTAATCACCTCTCAGTCTGACTTGATATTAATGATTTGATTCTTAAACATGACTGTTTTTAATTTAGCATACTTGACCTTACCGTCTCATTCGTTGGCTAATACCTGAACCAACAACATTATTTTCACTCTTTTATTATATAAGTTTTTGCAAATAATAAGTAATAATTATATTCGGACTCTCAAATTTAAAACAATTTAAAAGTATAACTAAATTAGGCTAGTGAGAGTCAAGCAACGGTGAACGGCGCAAAGATAGGTGAAAACCATACTCAGATGTTAACTTAAAGTCTTCTGTATTTGGACGTTTCAACTCTCTTTGGAGTCATCCTCAGCAATAAAGTTACAATATGATTGACTTACATGTCCTCGATGATTAAATCACTCTCAAATTGGCAAGGATGCAGCGTCGTTAATCTAACAATTACATAATTTTGTCATTAGATAATGCCCGAGTTCACAACATTAATTGACTTACCACCATAGGACATGAAGCGTGTCACGAAGTCATATAATAATCATAAGAACTCACAATTAAATATAACAAATTTAAATGATATCGACATCTTTAACTATCAGTATACATTGACATGTCGCTCGGAATTGAGTTGTTCTCGATGTAAGAGGTCAACATGTACGAAAACAATAAGGCAAGTTTATAAACTTCAAGATAAAATCGCATGTACATTATTCCATTCGCCAATCAAAATCGCAAAACATTTTTTTAAATCGCAAAACGTTTTTTAAAATCGCAAAAAATTGTTTTATGTAAAAAATTAGAATCGTAAAAATTAAATTAATGATCAGAACAGTATCATATTAATAAATAACAACTATATAAACAATTATTTTTTAAAACTAATAAATTTTCGTCGAATGAATAAATTTTGAATAACTTAAATTAACATAAAACATTTTCGTCAACAAATAAAACATGAATAATTTAAATTAACACATCCACAATTAAATTAAATTAGGAGAAACTTTCTAACATTGCTGCATAAGTGTAATGCAATCCTTCCGTATCTGAACGTAAATTAAGGCCATTATTTTGCATTTGTATAAATACCGTTTCCGAAATCAGTCTTTTTTTCAAAAATTTCTCCTTATCCAAAATTCTGACATTCTCCCAATCGAAATCATGCGAAAATTCAATACGATGGTCAGTAATCACTGAGCGGCTATTAGTTAGATAATGCCTGTATTCATGTCCTATGGTGGTAAGTCAATTAATGTTGTGAACTCAGGCATTATCTAATGACAAAATTGTATAATTGTTAGATTAACAACGCTGCATCCTTGCCAATTTGCGAGTGACTTAATCATCGAGGACATGTAAGTCAATCATATTGTAACTTTATTGCTGAGGATGACTCCAAAGAGAGTCGAAACGTCCAAATACAGAAGACTTTAAGTTAACATCTGAGCATGGTTTTCACCTATCTTTGCGCCGTTCACCGTTGCTTGACTCTCACTAGCCTAATTTAGTAATACTTTTAAATTGTTTTTGCAAATAAGTTTCTTAACAAATTTAATAGTGAATACTAATTCAACAAAAAACATGTTTTGTACAGTGAAATTGCCAATTTAATAACAGGATCGTTGTTGATGAAACTTTTGATTTGTCCAACTCAGCGTTACATATAAGTGATATAAACCTACGCTTATAAGTTTCTGGAATTAAATAATGAAATAATAAAATATGTACTCGTTTTATGTAGCAAATCAGACAATTTGATATATAACAAATTTTGAACACATTCTTAAATTTGCGTTGTTTCTTATTATATTTGTAATTGCGTCATCAAAAATGTTGTATTGAAGAGGACCCGAAACGAGGGTTGAAACGTTTATTTCTATTTTAAATTCTTATAATAAAGTTTGAATTTTTCACACACAAACACCCTGTGTTGGCTCATAAAGGCATTATCCATAGTAATTAACATTTGATTATCTTGTTATCAAATGATTAATGCTGATATTATTCATTTGCAAAAATACTTACTTCAGCTAGATTAGCTCTTATCTATATATTATTTGAATTATATTCATTAGAGCCTTAAAGTGATTTTTAAGTCATTCGTTAGACATTTATCTCTAATTAATTCTATCTCAATCGTGTGCCCGAGAAAATTTATATTATTTTTTAATTACACTAAAACTTTCAAGAATTTCTAACTCCATACTAGTTATTCTATTACACAGATATTACTCAATTATTTCCTATAATTTTAATTTTTTTATTTAAAAAAATTGACAAGTGAAATTTGGCATAAAATCTTTACGATCTATTTAAATCCGATCTAAAGCCATATGTACTTTCTGTATATCATGTATACGTGCATGTTTTATACCACAAAAGAATTAGATTTTTACGGATCGTTCGATTATTACTAGCTCGGTTGAGAGATTTTCGTTTCATGATATAATATACGTTATGTTTTGATAATATATTTTCATAATTTAACAAACATTCCTTTACGATTATGTGCTTTATTTTCGAGATGCATTCGCACTGTATCTCACTCTCTTCATTATATGTCGCTCAAACTTTGACATAATAATGCCCAGCATTATATTAGATTATAACCGCAATATGTCTTTCAGGAAACATGAAGAACCTATATATATATATATCATTACTTGATATCAAGAATACCCAAAGTTACATGTTTAAAAATTTCGAGGTGTATTATTATTCACGTGGCTCCTTCAATCGTATCGCTCGAATTTTTACGCGCTCTAAATTAGCACATGTATGTACATAGCACATACATTTCGACCTACCTCTCTTCGAGATATCCGAGTGGAATAATGGTGCAAGTAGAACAGCCCTTCAAAAATTCACTGAGTTTGATTACAGTATCGTCTCTCTTTGCCGGCGTATATGGACACAATTTTATGCGGGCGCGGGTATCTTCCCAAGTATTTTCTCATTTTCTCACTTCGTGGACGGAATCTACGTCACGTATACAAATAGTGGCTATTTCGGCATCATAGCTCTGCAATTTTCATTCCGACTCGCGAGAATATGCCGGTTTTCATCCACTATGAAGATCAAGCGTAATGTCAAGTCCGAGGAAATTTAAAAAAGCGCCAGGTTATCAACTCTTTTACCTGGTGGTGCACCATATATGATACATAACTTCAATTAGCGTTACAGTCTGTGCATGAAAGCTTTTCATCATTTCCTCCATTTCCGTTTTACATCAGGAAATTAATCTACATATCATAATTTGATACTTTTGCTGTTAAACGAGAAAAATGTAATTTTTATCTTCCATTAATTCTATTTAACATAAGACATTCTAAAACAAACTTTTATGAAAAAAAGATTTATCAGATAGAAATAGTTAAGAATCAAATATGAATACTCAAAACCGTGATGATAAACAACATTTTCATACAGATTGGTTTCTCGCTGTACATACGAGATAACTCATCATCAATCTTCAATAACTTTTTAAAAATCAGAATTGTTATTTAGTAAAAACATCGAAGAGAGGAATATTATTTCTTTGCGATTTTTTTCAAAATTGTACTGCGATAGCAGTGTTTCATTTCAAATTATAAATTTAAAGTCAAAATACGCTTGAAATGAAGCAAAAAATGAAAGAATCTTGTTATATATTTTTATTACTATAGAATTTAACTAAAAAAAAAAATTTTTTTTCACCATAAATACATGCCGTCCTTTTGTTTTTACAGTTAAAGGCTGCATTAATTCAAGAAATATTACTTGTCGTTAACTAAAAAGTAATACATCACGAGAGAGCACATCACGTTGAACGCAACGCGACGCGACACAACGCAAGGCGCCGGGGCACAGGGCGACACGGATCGAAGGTAAGTAATTAAAATGGAATCCGACCGCATCGTAACCGCTCGCGGAGACAGGGATAGAGGTTGAGGGGGTGACTACGACGTGCGTAGAACATCCCTGGTCGAATGGAACTGCGATTACAATTCCAGAATGCTGCCGAACAGGTCGAAAACCGGTTATATCCGCTCGCACGCGGGTCAACTGCCAGGACGAGGTAGCCCCGTTTACTTCTCCGCTTCTCCATCCGTTTACTGGCGCCGTATCCTACCTTACTCCAATATCCGTATCTCTTCCCCTTTCCGCGACTTCTCCCTGTCCAGCTCTCCCTCTCACCGTCTCTCTTATTCGCCCCGTCGCGTCGTCGGCTACGGCAATGGAATTCGAATTGTAATTTCTAACCGCGCGACTACGCACGAGCCATTACCTTGCCGTTCGAAATTCGTAAACGGATTGCGGATTCCCGGACTTCCACGCGGCTCGTACTAAGAATCCATATCCCATCAAGGCTTCCATGCCGAATATGCGTGATACGTGCCGCTCGAGAACCGGGGCTTTTCGTTCGGCTCGCCTTGTGTCATATTTCGAGTTGTATCGATATGGTATTTCGTATTTGCGTCATTGCCTCCTTCGAAATGTTTCTATGAATGCATCATCGCCGTTCTCAGTCGTGAATACATCCTCCACTGATGTGACGTAGCTATTTGCCAGTCATCACACTAATGGCACCCCTGTTATTTAATACCGTTCGTTATATATATTCAATGTTACAATCACAGAGTTACTAGCCATTTGAATGGCACTTCAGTAATTATATCAAGGATATTCACTAAGATGATAAACAAGCTGCCATGTCATTGTCGGTTGTGGTATTTAGAAAAAAAAACAAATTCTTTTATGGTATTAATAATAATTTTGTCATATACACGATTGACAAGTCTTCTATTAAATATATGCCAAATAATTATTCATTTATTTTATAATGTCTTTTTTAGATAATCTATATAATTTGTAGCTAAAAAGATTTAAGAAATTAAAGTATAAATATATATATATATATATATAATTAAATACATTTGCTGTTATTTTCTACAGTTGTGTATTAAAAAAAATATATTATAATTGTTCTTAAAATGATTTATATTATAATTTTATACGTAAATAAATGTAATGATTTTTGTCGTAAACATTTTTAAGCCAATCATTTCATAAAAACTTCTAGATTTTTTACATATATTTAATTATATTACATACCGTTTCTCATAAATTCGGAAACGCTTGTAATTTTTTCATATTTCACGAAGAATTAAATGTCTCGGTGAAAAAAAAAATTATGGAGAAGTTTCAAAAATGCATATTAAAGAGGAGAAATAGAGCTTTAAAAATTTCTTTTTTATGATATTTTGTTCTTATTACAGAATTAAAAATTTTTCCATATTTTTGTTTTACTTTAAAGCGCTGTAGCTTGATGAAACATCATCGGACAAAAATTAACGAAAAAATATAAGGCTTTTTTTATATTTAAAAATAGTATTTTAGAAAAATTGGTGCAATGATTTTTAGTAATAATATTGGGCTTCTTTAAATAAAGACTCATTTGTACAAAATGCTTTTAATTTAAAAAAGAAATTACGAAATTAAAAAAAGTTCATAGAATAAAAAAAAGAAAAAATTATTATAATGTTCTCAATTTACATACATTAAAAAATTGTTTAAATTTAATTTTTTATGAGAAAGATGCAAAGATGCAAGAAAATCCGTAAGTATTCTTGAATTGATGAACGATAGTATATATACATTTTGCTTCTCTCCAATTCGTAAATGATATATTAATAGACAATAGGAAAATATTTTACTAAATTAATATTTCTATTAAAATTATATTAAATGCTTACGAATAATTAAATACTAATATATTAAACATATCTAATCTAATATTAAATACTGTAGTACATATTAAACTACGAGTTGCTGTTTCTCGTCTGTTATTTTCTGCAAGATATTTAGGAAGACTACTCCACATTAGAGCATTCTTGTTCACTCAGCGTCATTACTGTTTTATTAGGAATAATTTGTTCTGAAAAATAAATGTAGACTAATCGTACGGAATAATGCGCTAATTTCTTTTGATATTAAATGTAGCAGAATATATGAAACTTTCGGTCATTTACGATAAAGACGTTTTCCTTCTCTCTGCTATAATCGAGATAACGAATCTTCGCTGAGGGAACACGATTATATCGATCATTTCATCGTACGTGGCATCCAGTAACTTCGGGTCTTGTACATCCTGCCCCTTCACCTTTTCTGTTCTTTCCTCGGTTAGCTTTTATCAGAAAAATCTATTACTCATCCATCTTTAAAATTAATTAACAAGACTAAGTTTTACGCAAATAAATAATTTTTCATTTTCTTGATAATATAATAAAACAATTAAAAAACGAAACCTTCTCTTTTTGATACTTAATTTCTTAATTAATATAATTAAAGCCGTAAATAGAAGTGCAATAAAAATTGTACTTAATACCATTGCATTTAATAAAAACATAAAGATATATCATTCTACGATTATATATTGATAACAAGGTATGGTTTTCTTGGGAAAAATTAATTAAAATTTGCCGAGTTAATTCATATTTATTCATTTCGTGATACGGCGAGTACTTTCCGGCGATTTCCTCGAGGGGAAAAGAACACCCTAACAATGCGGCTGAACGAAAGAGAAGCAAGCCATTGGGGGAAAGAGAAGCCCGAATGAATGGCCGACGAGAATGCCTGGCGAGGCGGCTGCTCGCCATGGATCGTACCTATTATGAAGTAACGTAAAAGAGACTAAGAAAGAGAGAATGAGAGAGCGCGTGCGCGAGTTGAGAGTGAATTTAATTCATAATCTGCTGCAATGCCTACTTGCCGGCAACTCAGCTCATCAAGATTTCAGAATGTCTTTCTTTCTTTTTCTTTCTCGACCGTGACAAGTTCGCCTTCTGAATATCTTAGAGACTTTTGCAACTTCATCTCGTTGTGGCGAGCAATGTAACAATTAATCTATTTTGCAAATCTGCCATATATGTATGCAGATAATATCTTCTTTGTAATATTTTTTTTATTGATATTGTCAACAGAAATTAAAACTTAACATAATTTTTAAATAACGCTTAACCCTAGAATAATCACCTGTTCTAGAGTATTTTTACACCCCAGCGGCGAAAATATGTGAGTTGTAAAATAGTGTTTTGTAAGAACATTTTTTAAGATAGGTATATTTTTTTGATAATTATTCTTTACGAACCTTTAAATATACAATTCTATCAAAAACTCGCAATAGAAAAAATATTATATTAATTGAAATCTTCATTTATTAGAAATATTGTCATTATAGGCTACGTAACGTGCTTATTCCGTTTAATACGTGTTTGATTTCTACTTATTTTTTATTAAGAATTATATAGAATTTGTGAACATTAAGGATTTAATCACAATTTTTAAGAAAATTGTGATTAAATTCATCATATTCGCAAATTCTAAATAATTCTTAATAAATTAGAAAATAATTAATAATACAATATGTTGTTAATAATGTAATTTTAATTGGAATGTAATTTTAATTGATGTAAAACATTCCAGATAATTGCAAACAAATCTGGTAATCGTACTCGCGAGTTAAATGGTTGTGTAAGATAATAAATTGTCAGCTTGTTTTTCGTTCCAATATTAAAAAAATACATACGCAGTATAATTGTTGAGAATAATAATACGTGAATAAATTTGTTGATAATACGTGAAGCTTTTGCGTTAAAATGACAACTATTCGGACATTTACATTTGGAATCAATATTTCCGCAAACACTGTCTATATGTGTAACCACGACAGAATGATGAACGTAGAAAGGAAATATGTACATGGCATGAGGCAAGGATTTCAGAACGTTGAAGCCAAACGAAACGAACGGTGCCGATTAAGCGCCGCTAAACTTCGCCGTCGTCCCGTCCCGTCCCAATTCTCGTACGGAATGGCGTGGTTTTAATTAGCGACCGCCAGACGAGCTTACGGGCTTATAAACTGATAGTAACTTGTCAGCGGGGGGAACGCCGTGTTACGCGTAAAATGATTTCACAAGCCGCCTTGGGCTGCACGCGTAATTAATCCTCTGGTTAGTATGCCGACCGGCGAGTCGCGGCTTGTTACAACATTCGCGACAATAAACGGCGAAATATTGCGCAAAGGTTGACACATTCCCCGCCGATCCCCGTTATACAACGCGACGTGTATCCACTATTAGAGCTTCACTCAACCAACGT